CCCAGGCGCGCGTGCGCGTGCGCGCAGGCGCGCGGACCGCGGGCCTGCGCGCGTGCATGCGTGCGCGCATGTGCGCGAGCTTGCGCGCATGCATGCGTGCTTTCGTGCGTGCGTGTGCGTGCGCGCGTGCGCCTGCGTGCGTGCGTGTGCGAGCGCGGTGCGTGAGCGCGTGCGTGGGTGGGTGGGCGGGTGTTGCGCGTGAGTCTGGTGTGTGTGTGAGCCTGTGTGGGGGCGCGTGCGTGGGTGGGTGTGCTTGCGTGAGCGCGCGCGCGTGCCCGCGTGTGTGCTTGTGTGCGCGTGCCTGCGTGCGTGCGGGCGGGCGGGCAGTGAAGGGGACATGGCGAAACGACGGGAAATGGTTAGAAAATAGATGGAAAACGTGGAAGATGGATGGAAATCTGAGGGAAGATGTTTGGAAAATGGAAGTGTGTATGTGTGCAAGTAAGGAAATGTAGGTATGTTTATGTTGTTGTGGTCGCTGCTGCCTGCTTAGCTGTCCTTAAAGGAGCTGTGAGGCTGAGCCTCGCGATGCTGCCGCGGCCGGTTGTGCGCCAGCAACGTAAATCCGGCCACCGGACGTGAGGCCAAGCCCGGAGGGCTTACCTTCAGGCACTTCAGGTATAAGGCCATCCGCCCCATGCCGCCGACCGTGAGCCGACCATGAGAAGAACATGAGCATACGTTTTGCGCTGGGTCTGCCGCAAAGGATTGGTTCAGGCGATTTCGAGGATTTTTGTAGCATCTTTCCGCAGCGTCCAAAAATGAGTGTCTTTGGGGGGTGCAAATTACTGGACAACACCCCCAGCATTGCCAGCATCATTCTGGATGATGCGGGTGATGCTACGCATGCTGGCGATGCGAAACAAGGGGCTGAAAATTGCAGAAAGCGAAAGGGAAATGCAGGGATGCAGGCGTGACTTGGAAGTGAACATAATGGAAGTCAAAGACTCCACGAAAATGAAATTGAAGAGGGCACTGGAGAGAAACCAAAATGCAGGAAAATGCAAGGGCAGAACGCGAAGGGAACCGGAGGACGGGAACGAAAAGATGTTGTTGGAAATTCTGGGAAACGAAGAGCAACTGAATGAGATATGAAGAGATAGATGTGCAGGAAAATGACGTGGAATGGGAGGCGAGGTGGAAGTCACGGGAACCAAAAAGAACAAAGGGAAAGGAATGCGAATGAAGGGGCGTTGAGTTGAAGGAAATGCAAGGAAGTTTGACCTTGTCCCAGCTCGGCAGACCCGCAAGGATCGTAACACAAGTCTTGTTGTTAGACCAGCAGCCTACAAACATCAAAGCGGCGTCACCTTGCTAGACGACACGGTCTGCGCCCCCCTCCACACTCACCCCCCCCCCCTCGGCACTTGCCCTCTCTCCTTTTTCTTCGCGCCGGACCGTCTTCGACGATAGTGACGTTCTGTTTCGAGCTGCGTGCTTGCATGACCAAAGGGTTGGCTCGCGATTTGGCTGGAAGTTTTGGTTGCTCCCTTGCCTTGCAGACACTTTGCACGACCTGAGCCACGCCCAGGCCTTGCCCGTCTGGCGCGCAGCAAGTCAGCCTCGTTTACGGCGCTTGCGGTCGGGAGCGCCACTTGTCTTGCGCGCGCACTCACGGCACAACCAGGAGGGCCAACTTGCGGCACTCATCCCTGCGAGTGCGCCCTGGGAAGGCACAGCTTTCACACCAAGAGTCTGCGTGCGCCGTCTTTGGCAAGTCTCCGCCGCATTGGCTGCACGTGTTTGCGTCACACTGGTTGCAAATCCAATTGGGACAGACACTGCCGCACTCTTTCTTGCGTGGACGGGCTTCTCGCCCTGGCAAAGCGCAGTCGTTGCACCAAGAGTCTGCGTGTGCTGTCTTTGGCAAGTCTGCACCGCATTGGCCGCACGTGTTTGCAGCGCATTGGTTGCAAATCCAGTTGGGACAGACGCTGGCGTGGCGCTCACCCCTCCGGGGTCGGGCGCGCCCACACCCGCCCTGGCACGGCGGGAAGGCGCAGCTGTCACACCAAGAGTCTGCATGAGCTGTCTTTGGCAGGGCTTGACCGCACTTGCTGCACTTGTTGGCGGCACACCTGTTGCAGACCCAAGTGGGGCGATTTTTGGCGTGGTATGCACTTTTTCGGCGCGCGTGTCTGGGCACGGCGGGAAGGCGCAGCTTTTGCACCAGGTGCCGGGCGTTGCGTATTTGGGCAAGGCGTTGCCGCATTGCTGGAACGCTTTGGCCGACGGCTGCGCCGGCGGCTTGGCATTGCGTGCGGCGCAGACTCTGCACATCCCTTCGTTGGTTTCTGAGTTGCCGGTCACGTGGCTTCGAGACTTCCAAGGACCACACTGCTTGCACTTGGCTGCCTTCGTGGTTCTGACTGGCGCGGCTGCTTCGCACTGCTTGCAGCGGGCACGGCGCAGCTCCTTCGTGCGTTTCTTTCTCAGAGTCTCCTCTAAGTTGAAGTCTGCCAGCGTGCGCTTTTGCTCTTCTTTGGCCGCATTGCACTTGGAGCACGCGAGAGGTTTGTCGCTGCATATCTTGCACAAACCTGGCTCTGTCACTGGCACTACTTGGCACCATGCGCACAAAGTATCACCGCGCTCTGTTTGGCGGGACTGGCCGGCCGGGCCCTTTGTGCGACACGCGCGGCGCGCTCTGTCCATGCCCTGCGCCACAACGCTGAAGCGGGCGGCGTCTTCGCGTGCCAAGAAGCGTGCAGAGGCGACAGCTCAGCAGCACCGGCTGCGTTGCTTGGCTTCCTGCTGCAACCTCGCCTTGGCTTCTTCCAAGGTAATGGTCGGACGGTGCGTTTCTATGAGATCGCCTTGGCCCAAGAGGTTGGGCCCAAATGGCCGGCTCACGCACAAGTCCTCAGCGCGCTTCACGCGAGACAGACACGTGTAGGCACTGAGCTGTGCGTCTCGCGAGGGCCTGTCCCAGAACCCCAAAGTGTAATGTGCAGGCGGGCAGTGTGGCTCCCATGAAGGAGAAAGCTGTGCCGGCATAGTCACAAGCCACCGGTGGCATTTCCAGTGCTGCCTGCTGCACGGCCGGATGCACGCGACCCCAGCGGGGAGGCTCGGTAGCTGTTTCCAAGTGGCACCCTCGACTTGTGTCAAGAGACACGTTGGCACGCTTTGCAGGACGACTTTGGGTGCGGTGGTCGCCTGCACTGCCGCCGCGTCCGCATCCTGCAAGCACCAGTTCAACAGCTTGGCGCGGCTGTTTTTGAACAAGCGCAGCGGCCGCAGCTCGGGAAGAGCTTGCAGTTCCCCAATCGCAGCTTCCGGCTCGAGCTGAAACAGAGGTGCATCCTGCGCCACAATCCATCGGGCTCGCAGCAGTGCAGCTACATACTTAGCTGCCTGTGGGTCCGGCGTCGCACGCGCAGAGCCAGCGACGATGCGCCGGCGCGCTCGCTCGGTGGCGCACACCGGACGTGATCGGGCCGCAGGCCAAGACCTTCAGGTAGAAGGCCGTCCGCCCCATGCTGCCGACCATGAGCATACGTTTTGCGCTGGGCCTGCCCTTATAAGGGACGAAGGGGCTGCGGTTTTTGTAGCATCTTTCCGCGGCGTCCAAAAACGAGTGTTTTTGATGCTGGACAACACCACCAGCATTGCCAGCATCATCCCGATTCGCATTCCTTTCCCTTAAGTCTTTTTAGTTCCCGTGGCTTCAACCTCCCCTCCCATTTCACGTCAGTTTCCTGCACATCCCTGTATTTCTCTTCAGTTGCTCTTCGTTTCCCAGAATTTGCAACAATATATTTTCGTTCCCGTCCTCCGGTTCCCTTCGCGTTCTGCCCTTGCATTTTCCTGCATTTTGGTTTCTCTCCAGTGCCCTCTTCAATTTCATTTTCGTGGAGTCTTTGACTTCCATTATGTTCACTTCCAAGTCACGCCTGCATCCCTGCATTTCCCTTTCGCCTTCTGCAATTTTCAGCCCCTTGTTTCGCATCGCCAGCATGCATAGCATCATCCGCATCATCCGGGGGGCGTTCAAGGAAATGAAGGGAGCTGAAACGGCAGTGAAGCGAAAGGAAGTGAAGGGAATTGCCAGGAAACTCTCGGACAAGAAGTCAAGGAAAAGGAAATGATAGAACGAAAAGGGCAAGGTGCCCGGTGGCCGGCTGTGTCGCGTCAGCGTGTAAATCCGGCTACGCCTTGTGGGGTAGCATGTCGCCGCTAGGCAATTAGCCTGCTAGCTTTAGCTATAGGGGCTGCACCTGACCCTCGTCACTCGGTCGTGATGCGCTGCCTAAATCCGGCACCTCTGCATCACCAGCTCGGGCTTGCGGCTTTGCTCGCTTGTGGGAAACCTTCGCAAAACATCGCGTATATGCCGGGTTCAGGCCATGTGGCTGACATCATCAGGGTCTGGGTTGGGCCTGGTGATGCTTCAGCGGGGCTTGGTCTGCATCATCAAGGCTTCCTTCCAAAAAGCCTCTCAACCCATGAAGCACTGTTTTTTAGAAGGTGTCGGAGGGATATAAGCGAGGCTCATGTTCGCGCATTTTGGCGCCAAGCACTGCCGGGTATGCCGGCGATGCTGGGCCCTCGCTCTACAAAACGCTGTAAATACTGTCAAAAACTGCTGCGCTGAGCGGTGGGCTGCTGTTCTGTCCGTTTTGCTGTTGCTGTGGCTGGCTCGCGCGCTGCGCGGTCCTTGCTTGTTTCCCGTTGGTTTTCGGGCCTTCTGGTGCACGCGCGCGCGCGACCCCAGCCACAAAACGCTGCTATTTACGGTGTTTTGTTGCATTTGCGCTTCCGGGCTGGCTAGCGGGCTGCTCTTTTTGGGCTGGTCTTTCTGGGGCCTTTGGCGCGTGTGCGCGACCCCATGTCAGCCTTCCATCCACCCCAAAGCAACACACTCACCCTCAAACCAAACAATCTCAACCAGGTGTTAACAAACCCAAATTCGACCAACAACACAAGTCCATGAAACGCTTGGGGGAAGCATTGCGTGAGGGAAGCTATTGCCAAATTTTCTTCGGCTTTCCAGCGGCGTTGGAACCGTCAGGGGGTCGTCCATGGCGTTGATGATCAAGCAGGGCGTGCGCACTTTTGAGGCGAACAGAACCTGGCTAAAGGGCGGGCAAGGCCTCGCCAAAACGCATGACTTAAGATAAGGCAACGCCAGTTAACACTGAAACTGGGTGAAGCTTCAGCAGTGAGGAGCCAGGCACGTAAAAGCAACCGTTGAGCATCGCTGTGATGAACTCAAGGCCCCTCCCGAACTACATGAAGCCAGCAGGACTTGTGACATTGTAGGCTTCAAAGCGTTCGTTTTCCCCCTCCCCTCCGCGCCGGGTTCTCGTTCGCGAAATACTCCTCACATGCCAAAGGGTCATGCTTTGCTTTGAAGCCCAAGTTTGAACGACCTTGAACCTGAAGAGGCAAACAGGAAGTCAGAGGATTCTTCATGACGCAAGACAGGGACCTCAACGGATGCGAAAAAATGCATAATTTGTTCCAAGGCAGGCCAAAAGCAAGCTTTCCAAAGGGTCCAATTTTCGGACAACCGGAGAGTGAGACCCTGAGGATTTTTTGCGCCCAAAAAGCTCAGCCCAAAAGCCAAGCGCATCAGCACGTCCTCATGGCCCGCATAGCCAGCGAAAGGCGCCGCTTCCGCTAGGAGCTGCTGCAGATCCTGGAGCGAAACCGAACGCTGGTGAAGCTCAGTTTATTTCAAAGGAACCGTTGGCTTCCGTTTACGCAATTTGCCAGAAACAGATTGACTAGGCTCGAAACGCACGTGCGTACCACCTCACTGCTCGAGCTTGCGCATCTTTGCACGGTTCCTCCGGGGTCGGCTCTCACTTCAAGGGCCTGTTTGGGTAGCGCAGTATAAAGACAGCTCCTTGAGGTAATGTGCAATGGCTTCGCGCGCATAGTTTCCCAATGCCATGACCATCCATAGCGGCTCCAAAACAAGTCTGACCCAGTTCTGATCACTTCCGGCTAAGTCTCAGGCTTCTGACAGCTATGCCACTCATGCAGGCAACCTCGCTAAAGCGCCCGCAGTCTACTGCACACTGGAGGAAGGTGAGGGGGCAAATCTTCTCAAAGGGTCTTCGCCACACGCACGCGCCGTTGCGCGAAGTCACATCAACGCGCGTAAAATCATATCACTGCATGGCCATCAGCGCGCGTGAGTGGAGTCACGTCACGCATCATGATTTTCATGCGTAGCAATCACACGGGCCATGCGCTTCCACAGTTTACGCCGCACTCTGCCGCAAAACCAGCCGCTTGCGTGCCACGCCGAGGTGTTCGCAGGTTTCTCTCCAGCGAGCAGTTTGTGACCTTCCCGCTGGCCACGCCAGTTTTCTGGCCCTCAAGTTTTGAGTTCCAAAGCCAGCTCCGGGAATGCTAATCACACTGGCCACGTGCTTCCACGTGTACGTCTGGTCAAAGGTTGAGCCACAGCCAGCTGCGTTCCGCACCAAGGTATTTGCAGGTTCTCAGCAAACTCCCAGCAACCAGTTGGTGACTTTTCATGTGCTTCCCCGCTGGCCACGCCAGTTTTCTGGACCTCAAGTTTTGAGTTCCAGCCACGTGCTTCCGCAATGTGCGTTGCACTCTGCCGCGTTTTACAAAAAGACCTGCAATCGTTGGCCACAAGGCTTCCAGCCTGCAATCTTGTGGCACGGAAAGCCTGGGCATGCACGTCAGTGCCCAGACAGGGCGACCGAGACTTGCTTTGAAAGTAGTAATGAATACAAGCTCTTGCGCTGGGGGCGCACAGGCTCTGCCCCAAGCCCGTTGCCTTGATCCTCACTGGCACCCCAGCGTCCAGCATCTTACCCCAATTTGCAAATCTATGGACACCACGTGCAGATTGAGCACGCGTTGTGAAAATGTGGCCCGGAACTTTTAGCACACAGGAGACTTGCCACTGTGGTGTTCATGCAAACGCCCAAGTCGCAAACGCTAGCCAAGCGGACGAGCTTTGAATAACACACACACACATAGCTCAGTGTATACATACAGTAACCCGCTAAACTAAAACCAAAGCAGCCGAATCACATGCAACTTCAAGGAAGCTGTGTAAGCAATCAGGGCATCCCTGAACTTTCTAGGGACTTGTAGGGGAACCAAAAAACTAAGGCGGGTCTGAGCAAGGGCGAGAAAAAAATGTTGAACAGTTTTTCTTTTCCGCCCTCCCTCCCCCTTGAAGAGCTGAGTGCAGAGCTGCAGGTGCTGAGGGACGCTCTGAAGAAGGGTTTGATCAAAGGTTTCTGTGAGTATCCTTCATGGAAAGGAATGCAAACCGAACAGCAAATCCTCATATTTGCATGATACGAGTTCCCCTAAATCAACAAAAACAGGGGCCCTCGTGGCCGCCCTTTCTGAAAATGGAGCACAAAACACAGATGCTCGGAGTAGCTCGTCCAGCAAGAAATCAAGAAAATCTCACGCACCCTGACGGTGGAAGTCGCGAGTCCATGACCGCCACCGCGGTTCTTCACGCTTCCGAGGGCTGCGTAGGACTCCGCTCCATCACACACACATATGGGCCAGGTTTGCCCACCGGCCACGCTGTTTGACGGGGCCCCGCTCCAACACACACAGTTGGCAGTCACCTGTCTTGCTGTGCGTTTACTCACCAGCTGTGGGGGCCCCGCTCCAACGCACACAGCCCCTTCCGAAGCGGTATCTATTGAATTGCTGCGATCAATGGCGTTGCAAGCTCACGAAGGAACCAGGCTTAATGGGGTTTGTCTCCATCCCGGCATTGGCTTCCCCTTAGCACAAAATGCCACTGAGGACTCCTGGCGTCTCGAAGCCCTGTCAAACTCGGGAAAACGCCTTCGCGTTGGCAGCTTTGTCGTACGCATCCGCGTTGTACTTGCGGAGTATATTTTCGTTCTCGCGGAGAAACTTGCTCTTCCTCAACGTCGCGTGACAGTCGAACCCCGAGCTTCGCAACAGGACGTCTTGAACTTCGGATGGAGTTGGGCGCCTCCGGCGTTTTGAAATGCGAAAGCGGTGTCTCTTATACTTGGACCGGGTCAGGAACATAAAAACAAGGAACAATCAAACATGGCGGGCTGTGTAAGCGCATCACGAGGCATGCAATTGCAATACTCCGACTGGCTCCAAGCTTCTTGGCTATGTTTGCCCCAGGTAGCTGAAAGCTGCAGGGCTTCAAACTTAGTTGCGGGCGCTGGTGCAGGTGCTGTTTGGGATGCTGTTTGAGGTGCTGGTGACTGTGGAGATTGCGGGCGGTGCTTTGGTAGTGCTGTTTGGGGCGCTTGCTGTTAGAGGTGCTGGTGCGCAATCATCGGCCTGCTTTTTCGCTCTCTTGGGTCTATGCTAGGGTCGACCTGAGGAATTGGCCCAATTGCTAGCCGAAACAACGAACGACGAGTAACAACCCGACTAGGACTCTCATCGCACTTTAATCAAATCACAGCAAGCTGCTCTCAATTTGCTGTGTTTCCTCTCGCCACCCATGTCCTCTGCACGGACCAACCAACCCACCAACCACCGACCAAGCAATCGCCAACAAACTGACCAATCAACCAGCCCACCCACTGAGCCGGCTTTCGAGGGGAAGATAATACCAAAACCGTGCGACCTTCAGCGTGCGATCTTCGGCGACCTTCATGTGAATTCAAGCAGCGTGCTGGAGAGGCAGAGGCGAGTATAAGGAAACTTGAAGCCCAGGAAGCAGGTCTGCAAATCGTAGCCGGGGCAAACACAGGCCGTGGCCACGAACTTCCTGCAGCGCGCAAACTTTTTGGGCCAGTCCCATGTCTCAGTCTTAAACAACCAGAATTGACACAAGAATGGTTTGAGCGGCATCCTGCTGATTCTTCTGTGTAGGTCTGCTTGTTGAAACCTGACGGAAGTCTGTCTGCGCCTAGCTCCGGCGCGATGCCAATCACTGCGCTGAGAAAGTCAAAACTGGCAAGGCTGTGCCTCAAGCATGCCACCAGGCCGCTAAGGCCCGTAAGCCATGTTTAGTTCCACGTTGTACAAACATCATGCCATCAAACATGGATCGACGTTGCAGCCGTATGTCAACACGAGAATTCTCTTGGGCTCCTTCAATTGGGTCACCATCAACAGTGTTTCTCTCATAGCTCGGGGTGTTCTCTCGGAAAATGGGGAAATGAGCCAAAGGCCGCCGCTACGGGCCACCGTTTCAGGATGAATGGGAGGGTTGGCGCGCCGCGCGTTGAGACTGCCAAGGGCCTTTCATACCCGTCAAATTAGCTGAGCGATTGATCTGCGCATGGGTGACGTCGCAAGTGTTTTGCGAGGTCATTTTGTTTGGCGAGTAGCCCCTCGGTCAAGGCGCGGCGCTGTGGCGTCCCCGTTCTCCCGGCGCTCATCGAACTTGCCCATGGCCTCGATGGGCAGCTTGCCTCGGAGCAGGCCCAGCCAAGCCACGGCTTCCAAAGAAAGTTTATTGCTTTTGCTCAAGGTGATGCGTTGCTACCAACCCCGAGCGGCGGGTGTGTGTTGACCATGGCAAAGGTGGGTCTTGCTTGCCACTCATGTCAACTGTCACATCTCACTCAAACACGCAAACAACCAGCAACTTAATCGGTAAGTCCAGGAGGTTTATGCTACCAATGTCTTCATAGCTGAGCGTTGCCAAGCTTGGTAGCGCTCACATCTTGGGTCTAACCGGATGTCGCTTGCCGCATCTTGCAGGACGTGAAGAAAACCGAAGCCGGGACAATGCTGCAAAGCGCCCCCTTGCAAAACTTTGGTTTGGTCTCCTGCAGATCATCTCTGAGTCTGTAATTCTAAACTGGGCCCCAAGCCGGCTTTTTTGGCTCTGTCCTTCCTACTTCACGTTCAGAATTCCCAGCTGCATGGAAATATAAATATATATATACATATATGTGTGTGTGTGTGTGCGACGGTCAAAGCACATCACATGGCTGGCTGCCATCGCTGGCACGGGTGTCGCTCTTCATGGCCCCTTGTCGCTCCCTACAAAGGCAGCTCACTTTTCGCACCCCCAGCTCGAACATTGCAACTTTGTAGTACAAGTCTAGTGCGCAAAGTACGCTTCCGCAGCTCCAGCCCGAAAATCGCAATTCTGTAGCACAAGCCTAGCGCGCGAAGTACACTTCCGCAGCCCCAGCTCGAAAAATCGCAACTCTGTAGTGCCAGTCAAGTATGCGAAACACGCTTCCACAGCTCCAGCTCGTGAATCGCAAATTTGTGGAGACCGTTACAATCGCGTAAGTGAAGCGCACCTCTTTTTAGCCGCGTCAGAGCCGCTCGATGAGAAGTCTGAGCTAGACCTCTGCGAGCCTGCCGGGCTCGAGCAGCAGCACTGGCTTGCTGCAATTGCTTTTGATGCTCCCTGGCGTCTGGCAACAGTGTCCGCCGCCTTTACAGCACGTTAGGAAGCAAGCGCTTTTGAGCGGCATATTGGCGGACCAGTGTGTTTTCTAGAAGTCTTCGCTTTTGAGACCATGGGCTGGCTTCCTTTCGGCAGCTCCCTACTTCAACCAATTATGAACGTTGCAATGCGTCGCCTTGGGTGTCGCTCCGGCGGCCGGATTTTTCCCACCTCAAGGCCGCCAGACCACTGCTTCCACACATGCAAATCGAGCAGGCTTGCTAGTGTAGGAAGCGAATAGTGAAACCCACAAACGGTTTGATGCCAAAGTGTTGCATTACTCCTTGCTACATGGAAGTGTCCATGCAAGTACTATATGCGCAACTCATCATCCAAAACGCCGCTAATCCTAAACAGGGATGTCGCTTTTCATGGTCCGCTGTCGGAGTGCCCGGAGGCCCCAACATCTTTTTGTGTCCGACGCAGTTCAACCAACTCCACAAGCACTTAGTTGCTCAAGTCAAGGCTTGGATCTTTACTGACTTGCAGCATCCACTTGAATCAACCGCACGATGGCTTGCGAAGGCAGGATCGCACGTGATCATGACACATATATCGCCGCGCCTGTCCTGCCAAGCAACTGCCAGAAGAGAAGCCGATCCAAAAAAGCGGGGCTCCCCGCAGCTTCTCCTGCAGGCCACGCAGGTCTTAGCGCCAAATGATATGCGCCATGGAAAGTTGGCAGCTTCTCTACAAAAACGACTGGCGCCGTGTCTTTTCTAGTTTTTTGAAGAACAAGGCACATCATTGGCCACGCGGAAAAAACAACATGGCATCGTGTGTCGAAGTTTTAAGGACGCAAAAAGAGTGTTCATAAGTGGCGCGTCGACGCAGCCTCGCAAATGCTACGATTGGCGCACGGGCGCAACGAAGGCAACATGTTGGGTAGACGGGGTGGGGGGGTAGCCCGGACCCGCCCGAGACACAAGTCCATGCATGATTGGCAAAGTGTGTTTTGCATTATAAAAACATAGCTTTGGGCTGCTCACTTCGTGGGACCTCGAGAAAACCATTGGGTCAGGATGCGGAGTACGCGGCGCTAGCAGGCGCAGGACTCTTGCAGCGGCAAACCCAAGGCTGATCCCCTATCTACGAGGGCCTTGAAAAAGCGCTATTGTCTTCAACAGCCATCTCGCGGATAGTCAAAAGCCAAGATGTATCTGAAAAGCTTGCGCGGGTTGAGTGAATCTGTCACAAATCGGCGCTAGGCCGCAAAGGCCCTCAAAACTGTCCACGCCAGGTTGCCTATGCACACACATAGCTGGCAACCCTCTAATGTCATGGTTGTGGTACGAGCGTTGGAACGGTGACTGACACGCTGCCCCTGTCCTGACATCTGAGCGTGTGCCCGCGTGGGCGTACGGTGCGTCTTCAGTTTCTTGACAGGCGTGAATTCTGATAAGGAATGCCGCGCAGTGGCGGCGCTGATCTGCATTCGGCCCCAAGTGCCTGGAGTCGCAGCCTAAAGAAACCTTGCTTCTTGCCCAGCCCGGAACTTCACCCGCGGTCTCCGGCGGACCCGGCAGCCCTTCACCCTGCAGCCAGGCACACTTCACCCCGCGACTCTTGTTGCCCAGGACTCAGAAAGGTTGGGAACTGTGGAGGCAAGAGCCAATCGAGTTTGAGCGTCAGACAGTGTGGCCGTCTGTCTGCCCTGTGAGAAAAGTTGATGAACTTAGGCTGACACCTGGGGCAACAAGCCACCCACCACAAACGCTCGGCCACGTTAGCGTAACGTTTCTGTCCGGATTTCACACGTCAAATCCATTCTTGGCTCCGTGTTCAAAGGGTGACTATGACTAATGTACATTCATCCAAGGCTCACATTAGGGGCGAGCGCGATGGCAAGTTCCAGGAGTGGTGGAATTGGTACTATGGACACCGAGGATGAAACGTACGAACGCTGGCGCCCGCCCGATACCAAGGATGAAGTTTGAGAGAATGGAAAGTGAAATGCTAAGATGCACATTTGTTGAACAATATTGCTTGTTCGTCAGATCTAGATGCAGACATACAAGTATTCATTATCAGCATAGCAGACAACAAAATCGTGCAAGCAAATACAATCTGACATCATACTCAATCTAGCTAGGACACACCATGAACTTAAATCTATCTTTACATCATCTTATATTCATCTCAAATTGCATCTTAATGTCATGATAGTTTCATCTTAAATTCATCCTAAATTCACCTTGAATTCATGTTAAACTTGCTTGCTTTTATCTACAAGTAGTCTTTCATCCCATCTTAAACTTATCTTGTTCATCTTAATTTGTCTTAATTACATCTTAGACTTCAGCTGAATTTCCTCTTGATGTTCTTGCAACTTCGTCTTACATTTGAAGCTTACATTGCTGTAACTTGGCGTGTAGCTATCTTGTCGTTTATCGTTAGCTTTGTAAGATTGATGTTCTAAGTGTATGATAGTGTGCGTGCATGTGTGTAGCCACGTCATAAATACCTGTGGGAACCCATGACAAGTGCAACCGCCGTAAGCGAGTGCGCGTCAACAAGTTCGTGGCACGACAAGTTATTGGGCGCGGATGGGGTGAAGCGGGTGTCAAGTTCTCATTTCATTGGCGAATGAATGAGTTAACGTGTCTTGGTCGTACAGTTGATAGCCATGAAGGCAGCGCTTTTCAGCTCGGCTGCGTGTGAGTTGCACACACATGTGTGTGAATGTAGATGCTTGTGCTGCAATATGATTGCACTGCTGTTGGGTTGGTTTCATCATGCCTGCCAGGATGATACCGCATCTTACTTTGTAAGTAAGTGTTTTGCTAATGACACCAGTGGGAAAAGTTTGCTGGACACTTTGCAGTCTAAAAACCCTATATGTTGAAACATAGACACCCCATAAAAAATATAGTTGATTGGAGCAGCGCGTTTGCAGTAATGTAGTCATTCATTCCGTTTACAAGGTCTGTAGGTACATTAGCACAGAATAACTGGCTTGTGGTTGGCCAGGCGTTGCAAAGCGCTTTTGATTCTGTAGCCCTGGCGGGCGCTGGCCCATGCGGAGGGCTAGCCTAGGTTTGATAAAAAAAAAACCTGCGCTGAAAAGCGCGTGCGTCTGGGTTGGAAACTACTTTTTCTGATTGTCATTGTTGTTTTGGAACACCGCGGAAATGAAGTTGCTGGCGCAGCTTTCGGGTCAGTGCGTTAGCCTGCTTTGTAGAGCTATGGGCAAGAAAGCTGTCAAAAAGGAAAGGCATGCACCTAAGATGCCAAAGGAAAGGCATGTACAACCATCTGTGATAATTACAGCACGAACAAAAAGGGTGAAAGCCAAGCATCTGAAGCCCTTGCTGTGTGGAGTAGCGGCGCAACTGGCCGTAGGAAGACAACTCCAAAAAGGAAGTTTATGCGGCAGCTGGCTGAGGACCCCCGCTTGTTGCTGGTCGGAGCCCTTGGTTTAAAAAAGTGGTTGTAGATTGCGCGTTTGACCATTTAGGAGTATGCAAAGAAATGGGTTGGCGAGCTCTCGGGGCTCAACGAGTTCTTGACCAAGGACGAGTCCATGGAGCTGAGTGAGCGGATGGGCCGGAAACGTGTGGCCAAGGCACTCAACTTGACGATCGGGGATAGTGCCGATGATGCCGAGTTGGACCTCGAGATCCACCGGCCGCCCCCGCAGGCAAGGAGCTTAAGCAGCACTTGTTTGTCAAGCAGCAGGCCGCTAGCTCAAAAAGCACCATTGAGGCGCTGACGGTCTACACGAGCAGCAAGGTTGCCAAAGTTGCCATGGCTGCAGCTGCGACGTGATGGTCAACAGCCAAAATGTCATGGCTGGCAAGGTTACAAGGCGCTGTCTCCTGGTCGCGCGGCTCCACAAGGCAGGGCACCAAGACCAGGTCTGTTGGCCCAGACTGAGCTTCGCGTGCAAAAATCGTGACTGGCATGGCCAAGGACAACCCGGAGGAAGCGGATGTCCAGGCCATTGTGGACATGGACAATGTCCCAAAGACAACGTTGAAGCTTCTCGTATGCAACTGACCACGATGCTTTCCATTCTGCATTGGTGCGCCGGCATGCTCCTGCGTGGCTGAGAAATTAATGAGCAGCGCTGCCGAGCGCTCACGCTCCATAGTTCCACAAAAGATGCAAGAAGATGTACGTACGCGCAGAAAAGCGCAGAAAAGCGCTGCTATACACAGTCGTTGCAGCGCTGCAAAGCGCTATACATGTGTTTCCTGCGTCGGGTGGCCGATCGCGGCGGCGCGCACCGGCGGACACGCAGACTCAGGAGTAGTCTCAGACCTGAAGCTGTCCAGTTTTGTGTGGCTGCTCACATCGAGCCCATAGCCATCTTGTCACTCACGTCGAGCCCATGGCCACCTCGGCATCGAAGCGCGCAAAGTCGCGCGCTGTAAGTGGCCAAAGTCACAGGGTCTCTGTCTCAGACTGCCGTGTCGAGGCTAAGCCTGGTATGATGCTGCGCTGCGATTTTGCTCACGACTTTCCTTGCGCCCATTCGCTAGGCAGTCGGACGCGCGCTCCTTTATCCCGTTTGGTTACATTCTGTCTACGCTACGAGAACACGGCCAAGCTGATGCGCCTATCAAGAAGCATAAAAATTGCGAAAGCAGATACGCACAAGTCAAGGGAGCCATGTCCGTGCTTTCACCATGTCAATGGGGATCAAATCCAAATGCAGGTGACCAATACTCCTGAAATGTTGGGTTTGTTGGCAAAGCAGCATCCCATGTTTCCGGAGAACTTGTCCAGCTTGAAGAACAAAAGCTACAACTGGCTGCTCTACGCGGACGAGCGCACGCCTGGGAACCCATTGAAGGGAGACAACCGCAGGAAGTGTTGGCTGTGGTGTGGCACATTCAATGATCAAGCCCGGCTGCCACGACACGCGCCGCTGGATTACCTGCGCGCTCTAACGTCGTTGCGCTGGTGTTGATCCTAGCTAGCTGACGAGCCCTGTCTCAAGGCCGTGCTAGGCAGCAAAGGATACTCTGGCTTCAAGCATCGCTTCACATGCCTGAACACGCTCGACAAACGTGATCGACCCTGCTCCTTTTTCGTTTCGCGCTGACAACGACATGTGGGCTACTGCCTGTTTCACGCAGGCAAGGCTGTGGAGTTCCACGAGGCCGAAACCATCCTTGGGCACCATGTTGCTGCGCGCATTGGACGTTCGGCGATTGGCCTCGCCAAGCAATTTTCACTTCGACAGTACGCACGTGCTGTGGCAAGGCATTGCGCCGCTAGAGATTGGCTTGCGGATCGCAGACACGGCGGATGAACGAAAAGTCAACTTGGCGGACATTCAAAACTTCACGCGCGCAACGTATGTGCTCTTGGGAGTTTATTCAGCCCTACGCGAGACGACGCGGAGCCCTGCAGTCTTTTCTTCGCAAGCTTTGATGCGCCTTTGCGTAGAAGCTTTCCAATTGAAATTTGGGCATTCTTCGGCATGGATGAAGTTGGCTGCCAAGCACGCAGACTTGTTCAAGGCTGCGTATGGCCACGACAAGATCATCACAAAACATCGCTATTGTTTCCCCTTGCTTCTTTCCGCCCGCGCCTTTGGCCAGCTGCACGACACGTTTTGCTTGGAGCGCAAACATCAGCTTTGGAGTACGATGGTCTGCGACAGTTTGCAGGCGCTTGAAGACATTGACAAATCCCGGCTTCACGGGCGGCATTTGTTCCACTGCGCAAGCCTCGGGAATCAACTGCTGCCCCCTTTCGTGGACAGCAGTGGTGCGCAAGCCAATTGTGTGGACATGTCGTGTCGCGCGTCCACGCTTTGGCCGCAACTTCTCGGGGCAAAGTGGCTGCAGGCAACATCCTGCCGCTGGCCGACGGTTCCGCCCTGGATTGGGCATGTGCTTCCAAGACGATCGTGGAGCTCTCTCTTCTGTCTCTTGGTTGTTTCCTTGTGAAGGCGGGGGGCAGACTTTTTTCTGAGAATGGAAAACATATGATTGTCCCCGGTTGAAGATACTGCAAAATGGCCAAGGCCCATTCAAAGGCCCATGCAACTTTCCTGGCAGGCTGCCAGGCCCTCTCCTGCACGGCTCGGATGATCTGTTCACTGTCGTCCTGCGCAACTCATAGCCGTAGCCTTTGTGAAGAGCACTTTTCTTATCCAGATTATGACAAAAAACCAGAGCCGAAAGAACAGCACGGACCCTGGGGGGCGCCTCAGGCAAAGGTAACACAGACTTCTGACTAAGACTTCGGCGTATAAGCGTGCAAGGGCGTAATGCTATTTGAAGCCTTCCGCGTCAAATTCTGCCAGCTCAAGGACAACGCAAACAACCCGGGCTCTGGTCTGAATGAGTCCTGATCGTGCTTCCTGGACATATCGTGCTTTGCGATGCGCGGCAATCTGGTGACACATAAATGAAGGCTTGCGACCCATCCTTGCCCAGTGGCCTTTGGGAAAGCAAGGACACTTGCTCTTGGTGACTGATTGTGTTGTACCCCAAAATCGTAGAAACAAGGGCGCGGCACAACTGGCAGGTCGGACTTGGCATCCCTTACGATCTCGCCCCGTCCGCATCTCCGAAAAGGTTCCAGCGAGGGCTCTTCAGCTTTTTGCAGTGGCCTCTACGCTCCACAACCTGAGGCGGCGCCAGGCCTTTGCGTTGGGGAATGTCATGGCCCCCACGCTGAAAGGGTAGACATCTTTCGCACAAAACCAACAACGTCCATGCTGGGCTGGAGTGATTGTGGAGTTCGGAGTTTGGACAGGGTTCACACTCGTGCGCGCTGAATGGATCGAGGAGCTTTGGGGGGCGCTGCGTGTTGCAACGGGTGTGGATGGGAGCGTGCTGGGGCAAGACGTGGTCACGTTCTTGCCAAGTGTGTGGCTTGCTTTCACCGAGGCGCAACGACACGAAACTTGTGGTGCACCGCGCGGCGGAGGAATGACGAGCCCGGCACGTCTTGGGCAGTGCACGTCCTCGCAGCGAAGTGGACAGTTGGAGGAAGGGGGCATGCGAAACTCTAAACCGAGATGTCTCAGCATGGGGAAACCCAGAAAGATGGCCGTTGCTTGGTTCACTTGTCCCCACACCCCCCTTCGCCAATCACCCCGTCCAAGTGTATCCTCATGTTCCCGCAAGGTAACACACAAGAAATTAAAGAGAACCCCGCGCAAAGAGGGCCAGTTGCAAACGCCCCGAGCCGCCGGCAAGCCGGGCTCCACAATGATCGCTGGAGCATCTGTCGGCAGCTCTGAGTTCCTTAAAACCACGCGTCGATGCAAAGACTTCAATAAAAGGAACCTCTGCTCTGGCTGGCCCATGGGTGTTCACACATCCACCTTGAGACCCGCCCTGGCGGCAATAGAGTACTTTGGGCTAACCTGGCATTGTGTGTGGACCCTCCATTTTTCCCGAAAGCATGGCGAAGAGTTCTTCCGCTGGGTTCGCTTGAGTTGTTCTCATGAGAGTCATTACAAGGTGTCATTGCAAGGAATCATCATCAAAGTCATGGCAAGGCGTCATTGCAAGGAGTCATTGCAAGGAGTCATTGCAAGAGTCATTGCAAGGAGTCATTGCAAGGAGTCATTGCAAGGAGTCATGAGAGTCATTGCAAGCTGCAAGGAGCCAAGTGCATAGAGTCAAGTGCAAGTTGCAAGTGCAAGGAGTCAAGTGCAAGTTGCAAGTGCCAGGAGTCAAGTGCAAGTTGCAAGTGCATGGAGTCAAGTGCAAGTTGCAAGTGCAAGGAGTCAAGTGCAAGTTGCAAGTGCAAGGAATCAAGTGCAATTGACTTGCGAGGAGTTAAAATCTCTTCTTCGGGCGGCGGGGTAGTGCCGACAGGTGCAAAAACTCGAGGTTTTTGGCGTTTTTTGCGTCAAACTCCTAGAGAACGAGTGGCCTGAAAGCATAACTCCCCACGACGTGCGGCAAACTCGTTTAACCCCGGCAAGTTGCTCTGCGCAAGGCGCTCTGCGCAAGGCGCTCTGCGCAAACTGGTCTGTGCAAGTTGCTCTGCGCAAGTTGCTCGGTGCAAGTTGCTCTGCGCAAGTTGCTCCGCGCAATTTCCTTCCGTGCAAATTGCTCCCTGCAAGTGGCTCCCTGCAAGTTGCTCTGTGCAAATTGCTTCCTGCAAGTTGCTCCCTGCAAGTTGCTCTGTGCAAGCTGCTCTGTGCAAGTTGCTCTTGCAAGTTGCTCTGCGTAAGTTGCTCTGCGCAAGTTGTTCTAGGCAAGGCGCTCTGTGCAAACTGGTCTGTGCAAGTTGCTCTGCGCCAGTTGCTCTGCGCAAGCTGGTCTGCGCAACTTGCTCTGCGCAAGTTGCTCTGCGCAAGTTGCTTTATGCAAGTTGCTCCGTGCAGCTTGCGAAGCCCGCCCGCGGACCAGGGGGGAATCGCGAGACAACTCCCGAGGACCACTTCGAACAACAAAAGACGCAACAAACCTCGAGTTTTTGGCACATCGACCACGCCGATCCCCCGATCCCCGCAGAGGGTCTCATCATGAAAGAAGTTGCAGGGAGCTTTTCGTGCATCTACGAGATTCCATTCTGTCAGTTGCTTCTGTGGTTGGGACTTTAGGTGACAAGCGGCTTGTTGATATGCCCGCGCGACCCTCTGCGGGGATTGGCGTGGTCGAGGTTTTTTTTTGCGTTTTTGACATTCCCGGATGAACCCTCTGCGGAGATCGTGCGTGTCGAAGCGCTCTCGCTGTGGCGCCGTGCGAATTCTTCTTAGTCTCTGCGAACCCTCTGCGGAGATCGTGCGTGTCGAAGCGCTCTCGCTGTGGCGCCGTGCGATTTTGTCGCTCGCGAAATGGCCTTTGGAAGTTGTCTCGTGGTTTGCGCGCCTGCTTTCGCAATCCCGCGGTCGCAGGTTCGACTCCCCCCTGGTCCGCGGCAGCTCCGGCTTGAAAATCGCAGCTTTTAAGTACAAACGTAGTACGCGGAGCGTGCTCCTGCAGCTCCAGAGAGCACTTGCGCAGAGCAACTTGCACAGAGCACTTGCGTGCAGCAGCTTGCAGAGAGTAAGTTGCGCGCAGCAGCCTGGAACAATGCAGCTTGCGCAGACCACTTTCGTGAGAAATCGCGCGGCGCAGTTCGTGCAGAGCACATTGCGCCGAGCAGATTCGTGCAGAGCCAACTTGCACAGAGCCAGTTGCACAGAGCCACTCGCAAAAAGTAGCTTGCGTAGAGCCAACTTTCACAGAGCCAAGCTGCGCAGAGCCATCTTGCACAGAGCTAAGTTGCGCGAGCGTGCTTTGCACAAACTGTGGCCGTCGTGTAAGCTTTGCTATTGATTGCTTTTCCTTTTGCTTGTAATTCGTTTCGAGCTTTACGAGCTTTACTCTTCTTGTTTTAACGGATGTGAGTATGTGGGATCGAGCACTGCCATGTTTCCTCTCGTAGGACGATGAGATGGAGCTCTCATGTGACCATACACATTGAGCATCGCCGCGCGCAGACACGCTCGTCGCAGCGATGTAAAAAGGTGTCTCTGCGGCTGGATGAGCACCTGGGGAAAAATGCTTTCGGGCCAGTCGTCCTCTAGTTGTTGGTTTCCTGCCATATACATGCGACTCCGGTAGTTTTGATCAGAAGGCGACGACCAAGTTCGAAACTGGCGCATAGTTCGAGGCCACGGTGAAATGCTCAAGAAGATTGCCACGAGAAGCCGCTCACCATCGGCTGCTTTAACTAGACGTTAGACACGTGCCGGGCTACGACCCGCCCGTGTTTGAGCCCTTTTGAGGCATAGCTTTTCGCAGGCCCCGGGTCTCGCTTAATGGCACGCAGCCTTGCTGCTGTTCTCTGATTGCATCTCTTTTTGGGATCCAAATGCACCGTTAGACACCCGTCGGGCTACGATTTGGAGCACTTTTCGGCTCGAAACCTGCCCGTGTTTGGGCCTTTTGGGGCGCCCCAAGTCTGCTGAGTTTCAAGCGGCTATACTGGTTTTCTCCGATTGCATTTCTTTTTTGGGATCCAAAAGTGCCGTCAGACACATCTCGAGCTACGATTTGGAGCGCTTTTCGGCTCGAAGCCGGGACCTTTTGAGGCGCACCTTTTCGGGGTGACGCCGGTGATGTTGCTGCTTTCTCTGGTTCGGCCGATGCCCTGGTCATGTTGTCGCCGGCTCTCATTTTGCTGACCTTCATATCCTTGACGCGTGGTGCGTTTCCGACTTGCCTGCAATGCGGGCGTCTCTCGCGCGTATGGTACATCATCAAAGGAAGTTTAACAGGAAACTTCCGCAGCGCTGGAGCTAATTGGCTGTATTTTTCCGGGTGTGTAACGCGCGACGCGGCACGAATCTTGTTACGGAGGTCTGTAGCGTAACGGGAACTGAGCCTCAAGCATCTCGAACGTCGCAACTATTCAGCGCAACGCAAGTCGTGCCTCCGCAGCGCCAGGTTGAAAATTTGTAACTACTCGGCGCAAGCCAAGCGAAAAGAAAAAAGGGGTCACTAACCCAAGCGGAATTGAGTCTATAACGAGGTCTGTGACGGCTATGTAACGAGGTGTGTAACGAGGCATAGCAAAGCAGCATGATGTGAACGCGCCTCCGCAGCTGCAGCATAAAAATTTGCGGGGTGGCTGGCCTGGGCTAGGTTGGGTCTGCACAAGGTCTGTAGCGGCAGTGTAACGAGGTGTGTCGCGAGGCATAGCAAAGCGCAGCCCGGTAAACGAGGCGCGCAAAAAGGGAGTTCTTTCTTGCGGCCCCTCCCTACTAGTTGGCTGCAAGTTGACTCTTCAGCGAAAGAATGCTCTGCAAAAGTCTGCTCTGCAGGCACTCATGGGAAATCCCGAGAGTGGGTAGGGCATGCGTGTGTGTGAGGTGTGCAACAAAGGGTGTGTAACGAGCCAACGAGTCTTGTTACAGAGGTCTGTAACAATGCTTGTAACACATGTCTGCCGCGGCTCTGTTACAGACCCCGCACAGCCAATTGAGCTAGCTGCTTTGACACACAGCCATGACAGCTAGCTTGACACATAGATAGCTTTCCAATGAGGCTAGTAGCTTAAGGCAAAGAGCTAGGTTGACAGATAGACGAAAAAAGCACTGAAAAATGCTGGAGTCGGGAGAGCTGGGGGCTAGCAAGACACAGAATGGTTTGCTCTGTGCGTGAGTTGGGTTTCCGGACAGCGCGCAAACCACCTCGGTTGCGACGCCTGTGCGGAGGCGGTCGCGGCAGTGTCGCGAAACGAGCTCGGAACGTCTTGGCCGCGCGAGGGTTTCGCAAGGATTGAGTTGCGTGCGTGGGCGCGAAGCACTTTCGTAAGGCTAGGTGCAGATTTCGTAGCAGGCGCAGTAAAAAGATCAAAGCAAAAAAATTAAAGGACCGGATAACCCCACATGTCTATGCTTATGAAGATGCGCCACACTTACATCGATTGAGGATCGCAGGTTGTAAAAGCAACCTGACATAGACAGTCAGTCAGCAGCCAGATGCCTGAACGCAAGCACAGGTGAACGAAGTACTGCGCCTGCATATCCTTCCCACTTGCAACTCCAATCGCAAGGATGGAATGAAAATTACCTGACACGCATTTAAAAAAAAACAATGGCACGCACCTGAACGCAAGCCCAGGTGCACGAAGTACTGCGCCTGCCACGACTTCAGCACTTGCATCTCCAAAGTGCTGCGCCTGCCACGCGAGATGGGGGCCCACAGCCGCGCGCGCCACAACACCCCAGCCCTTTAGACAGCTCCCAAATGCTGCCCCTGCCACGCAAACGCAAGCCCAGGTGCACGAAGTACTGCGACTGCCACGATTTCACGCTTGCATCTCCAAAGTGCTGCGAGCACCACGCAAGATGGAGCCCACAGCCGCGCGCGCGACAACACCCCAGCCCTTTAGACAGCTCCCAAATGCTGCCCCTGCCACGCCAACGCAAGCCCAGGTCCACGAAGTACTGCGCCTGCCACAATTTCAGCGCTTGCACCTCCAAAGCGCTGTGCCTGCCACGGGAGATGGGGCCCACAGCCGCGCGCGCCACAACATCCCAGCCCTTTGGACAGCTCCCAAACGCTGCCCCTGCCACGCAAACGCAAGCCCAGGTGCACGAAGAACTGCGCCTGCCACGATTTCAGCACTTGCATCTCCAAAGTGCTGCGAGCACCACGCAAGATGGAGCCCACAGCCGCGCGCGCGACAACACCCCAGCCCTTTAGACAGCTCCCAAATGCTGCCCCTGCCACGCAAACGCAAGCCCAGGTGCGCGAAGTACTGCGCCTGCCACGACTTCAGCACTTGCATCTCCAAAGTGCTGCGCCTGCCACGCGAGATGGGGGCCCACAGCCGCGCGCGCGACAACACCCCAGCCCTTTAAACAGCTCCCAAATGCTGCCCCTGGCACACAAACGCAAGCCCAGGTGCACGAAGTACTGCGCCTGCCACGATTTCAGCACTTGCCTCTCCAAAGTGCTGCGTGCCACGCAGATGGGGGCCCACAGCCGCGCGCGCGACAACACCCCAGCCCTTTAAACAGCTCCCAAATGCTGCCCCTGCCACGCAAACGCAAGCCCAGGTGCACGAAGAACTGCGCCTGCCACGACTTCAGCACTTGCATCTCCAAAGTGCTGCGCCTGCCACGCGAGATGCGGGGCCCACAGCCGCGCGCGCGACAACACCCCAGCCCTTTAGACAGCTCCCAAAAGCTGCCCCTGCCACGCAAACGCAAGCCCAGGTGCACAAAGTACCGAAATTCTGCCCCTGCCACACAAACGCAGCACTTGCATCTCCATGAGTGAGTGTGTGTGAGTGAGTGTGTGTGAGTGAGTGTGTGTGTGTGAGTGAGTGTGTGTGAGTGTGTGTGAGTGAGTGTGTGTGAGGGAGTGTGTGTGAGTGAGTGAGTGTGTGTGTGGAAGCGGGTGTGTGTGAGCGGGTGTGTGTGCGTGAGTGTGTGTGAGTGTGTGTGAGTCAGTGAGTGTGTGTGTGTGAGTGAGTGTGTGTGAGTGAGTGAGTGTGTGTGTGTGTGTGTGCGGTGAGTGAGTGTCTGTGAGTGAGTGTGTGTGAGCGGGTGTGACTTTGTGCGGGTGAGTGAGTGAGTGACTGAGTGAGTGAGTGAGTGAGTGAGTGAGTGAGTGTGAGTGAGTGTGAGTGAGTGAGTGAGTGTGTGTGAGTGAGTGTGTGAGTGAGTGTGAGTGAGTGAGTGAGTGAGTGAGTGTGAGTGAGTGTGTGAGTGAGTGTGTGTGAGTGAGTGTGTGTGAGTGAGTGTGTGTGAGTGAGTGAGTCTGTGTGACTGAGTGTGTGTGAGTCAGTGTGTGTGAGTGAGTGTGTGTGAGTGAGTGTGTGTGAGTGAGTGAGAGCGACGGCGAGTGAGTGAGTGTGTGTGACTGAGTGTGTGTGAGTCAGTGTGTGTGAGTGAGTGAGAGCGACGGGGCGGCGGGAGTTGGGCGCGCAGCGGTAAAAGTAAGAACCCCACACAAAGATGTGGGGAACAATCCTCCCAACCCGCATGGCAAGTGGTCCGTTTTCCGAATTTTCCGCACTTTCGCAAGTTCAGGTACGGACTTTGGAAGGCGCAGCAGACAGGTGCAGAAGCGCAGCGCTTTCGCAGGGCCAAGCGCATTCAAGCCACCTGGCTGCGACGCCTGCGCGGAGTGCGTTAAGTGGCATGCGCAACACTTTCGCACGGTCAGGTACAGATTGCTAAGCAGGCGCAGCGCTTTTGTGAGGTCAGTTGCAGAGTGCTTGGCGGGTACAGGTTTCGTGGCAGGAACACCACGTTGGCAAGGTCAGGCACAGATTTCGTGGCAGGCGCGACACTTTCGCAAGGTCAAGTACAGATTGCTTGGCAGGGGCAGCACTTTCGCAAGGTACGCAAACAGCGACGCTGGCGCGGAGGGGGGCAACGGCGCTGCTTGGGCCACCCGAGCAAGTCTGAGGAACAATGGCGCTCCTATAGATTACACGGCGATCATGCGATGAAACGGTCTGCGATAAGAGCCGCGCGCTTTGAGACACTCACAGGCCGCGCGGCGCGCGCGCCGATCCGGCCCTGACGCTACCTTTCAGAAAACTGCCTTTCTACGACGCTCTCAGTATCAACACAGCTCGGTCTCAAGCGAACACAAATCGAAGTGCGTGCCCTGATTTTGACATCTTGGTTCAAATCTTGTAAAATTCCTTTGGCCACGCAAACCTTCACGGCGGCTTTGCTGCGGGGCGCGCAAATGGAAACGTGTTCAGCACGACCTCGTCTTCCATGCAGCGAGGGTTGGTCTCACTCTCCAGCTTCGTTTTGTCCTCGCCGCTGACCCCGCGCGGACACTCATGTCTGACACCCAGGTTCGCACAAAATGGCAAAACAGCAAAACGAAACAATTAAACAACAACACCCGCGACCGTGCCAGAGCCTCACCCACACGAAGCACCCAACACCATATGGGCAAAGCGTCCATGCCCCGCTTCCTATTTTTAAACCCCTGCCCCTCTTCCATCGTTGAATCAGAAACTCATGGCAGGTAAGGACCGGTCTGTCCTTAAGTCCGCGCACCGTAAGCAGCTGCTTCTCAAAGGCCAATGGCTGGACTCCCGCGGAGAACCTGCAAAAACGCTGCGCCCATCCCGTTGGACACAGTGTTCAGTAATTCCACCTGTCTGATAGAAACGTCCGACATGCGAACAGTAGATGCAGGCAAGTGCTCGTATTGAATGCAACAGTTAGCGCTGTTGCTAGAATACGGCAACTGCGTAGCTTGTAATGTCCTGAAAAACTCAACACGCTTGCGCCGTTCTCAACACGTGTCCTCAGAAGATGGCTCAAAATCCCGGAGTTCTTTGCTTATGAGGATGGAGCGCTGCCAACCAAAAAAACGTGCCTCTGTTTGACTTTGGAACCTGCCAGCAGTGCCAACAAGAGCGCAGAGAACTAAACATGTGCAAGTACACTGTTGCTCTGGCAACCCCACAGTAATTACAAACATTTCGGAAATTTGCATGATGGGCCCAGCTGTTGGAGCAAATTAGCTGGCCTGAAACCGAAGAAACTTAATTACAACCAGCTTCACTGCTTTTGCCCAAACTGGGAGCCCGGCAAATTGTAAACCACCCAGGGCAGGAACTGCACATTTCCGCCGAAGGCCCAAAAGGGCGGCCGCGGTGAGCGATGCGCAGTAACCATGCGCCCGTAAACCCGGCGCCTCAGCGAGTTTGGTTAGTTCAAGCCTCAGCGGCAACCTGTGGGCAGCAAGACTGCAAGTTGCAGTCGCAATGACAGCTTGCCGCAGCCAATTTGCACTGCGCGCTACAGGAAGACTGCAGAAAAACATACGAGGGCTAACAGGGATGGATAATCCAAGACCTTGCTTAGCCGGCTGGCTAATGTTAGCCAGGTTATAAACGTTTAGTATTTTGGCTAAGTTGGGTTATAAGGCTTCCAAACTCCTTGGCAAACGAGATAAGTTGGTCAAACCTATATAAGGTTTATAAGTCGTTTCTAAGGTTTAAAACCAGAATCAATCTAAGGATTATAGGAGATATAACACGCTTTATAACTCCCGTTGCAAGCCCCAAGCCAAACACTTAGCAAACATGGTCGCAACCCTTATAAGGTTTAGCGGGGATAGCTTTTGGGATCTGTTTCGGGGCTAACACCCTTAGCAGACTTAGCTTTTTCCGAGCACAGTCATGCAGCATGCAAAAGGGAAGCCGAATCATTTACCTTTCGGTTTCTTTCGCCCCTGCGCATGCCGCTGCGGGCGTGAGCCCGCGCGGCACCCGCGCAAGCCGCAGTGAGCCGCCTTGCGGACGCAAGTGCTCCGATTTGATATCAGATTCAGATTTTTCAGATTTTTCAGAAGCTGAATTTTGCAGACTTTTCAGATTCACATTTTTCAGATATTTTCAGAAGTTTCAGATTCAGTTTTTTCGTTTTTGCAGATTGTGAAAACCTGATTCTTTACTTAAATATTCAGATTCAGATTTTTCAGAACTTGTCAGAATCTGATTTTTCAGATTTTTTCTGATTCAGATTTTTCAGAATTTTCAGATTCTGAAAATCTGAATCTTCATCACTTTCTTTACTTAAATATTCAGATTCAGATTTTTCAGATTTTTCAGATTTTTTCAGAATCTGAATTTTTCAGGTTTTTTCAGATTCAGATTTTTCAGATTTTTTCAGATTCTGAAATCGGAATCTTCATCACTTTCTTTACTGAAATATTCAGATTCAGATTTTTCAAATTTTGTCAGAATCTGAAAATCTGAAAAATCCGAAGCTGATATCAAATCTGAAAAATCAGATTCTGAAAAAAACGGAAAATATGAATCTAACAAGCAATGTCAAAACATATGGGCGCTCTGATCCGAGCTGTGGAACCGCTCAAGAGAAATGAGAAAAAAGATGAGCTGCGTCTCTGGAGCCGCGCGGATTGCCCGCTGCGGCTTTGCTTGATGTCTCGCTTGCGGTAGGAAAACGCATTGTTGCACCAATTGCGCACAGGTGCTGGGTTTTGAAAGAAAAACCTTAACAGGTTTGGCTGGTTTAGCTAAATTTTAGCTAAACCCTTGCCTAAACCACCTCCTAAACCACATTTTGTAACCCTTATAAACCCGCTGCTAACTCTCATAGCGATTTATAAGAGATATCTAATCCCCAACCGCTACGGGATGGCTACGGCGGAAAGGACAACAAGACTTAGTGAAAACTACAGAAGAAAAACACAGCAATGCAGAAGGCGATTAATGCCCCTAATTGCGAAACAAGCTCAAAAAACTGGAGGGTCTGGTTGTAGTTTTGGCCGGGCACTACAGCCTGCAGGAGCTAAGCGGGAAGTCGGACATCGCACAAGGAGTCGCAAATTGGGGATCAAGTGAGTCGGACAAATGTGCCCAAACGGACGCACGGCAAGCGCTAGTCGCACATCATCGAGTGACATCTGTCCCGACCATGTGGGGGGTTGATTGGGGATTTGGGGTGGGGGGTGGGGGGGGGGGCCATCCGGGACCATCCCGGCCATGGCACCCGTCCACGGCCCAGACCCATCCCCACCGTCCACCGGCGACTGTGCAATCATCCGCAGCTGCCCCACCTTTTTTGCATTCATCCTTGCTGCGCAATCATAGACATGGCCAAAAGCATTGCGAGCGGAAACCGAAGTACACCTTTCTCCATAATTTCCCAACTGTTGAAACTCGAAAACTCCTTTTGCTACAGAAAGCCATCTGCGTTACTGAAGGTTCTGGATTCACTAGACACGTGTTACCGACACAAAAGCATACGAAAGAGTTTAATTACCGATTCTCAAACGCCCTTTTTCACCCTCTTGTGGTAGCGCAAACATAGACATGGCCAGAGGCATTGCGTGCGGAAGCCGAATTACACCTTTCTCAATCATTTGCTACCTGTGGCAACTCAAAAAACTCCCTTTGGTACAGAAAAAAATGCAACACTGGGTCCTGGAATCACCAGACACGTGTTTCCGAAACGCACGCACACGAGAGGGTGTCGGAAATTCCGATGCTTAACACCCCGTTTTGCATTCATGCTTTGTTGTTGCGCAGTCATAGACATGGCCAAAGGCATCGCACGCGGAAGCCGAGTTAAGGCCTCTCAACCATTCCCAACTGTTGAAACTCGAGAATTCGCTTGGCAAAGAAACTCATCTGAGGTACTAGGTTCTGGAACCACCAGGCACGTGTTACCAAAACACAAACATACAAAAGGGGGGTCAGAATTATCGAGTTTGCATTCATCCTGTTGTTGCGCAATCACAGACATGGCGAAACGCGTTGCGTGCGGAGGCCGGATTTCACCTTTCTCAATCATTCGCTAACTGTTGAAACTCGAAGACCCCTTTATCTACAGAAAGTCATCTGCGATACTGAAGGTTATGGAACCACCAGACACGTGTTCCCAAAACAAAACCACGCAAAAAGGTGTCAAAAATATCGATGGTTAACACCCCTTGTTGCATTTATCCTTCTGTGGTTGCGGAATCATAGACATGGCCAAAGGCATTGCGTGTGGAAGCCGAATTGCGCCTTGCTCAATCTATTTCTAACTGTTGGAACCCGAACACTTTTTGTGGTGCTGAAAATCATCCGCGACAGCTTCTAAAATCGTGTGACCGAAACAAAGGCACACAAAAGGGGTTCAAGGCTATCGATGTTTAACGCCCCCTTTTACATTCACCCTGTGTTGTTGGGCAATCATAGGCGGCCATAGGTGTTGCGTGCGAAAGCTGGATTACACCTTTGGCACTCCTTCGGCAACTGTTGAAACTCGAAATTCCTTTCGATACAGAGGATCAGCTGCGATACTAGGTTGTGAACCACCAAACACGTGTTATTTTAACACTCCTTTTTGCACTCATCCTTTTGTTGTTGCGCGACCAGAGACATGGCAAAAGGCATCGCGTGCGGAACCCGGATTACGCCTTTCTCAATCACTTCCTAACTGTTGAAACTCGAACATTCCTTTTGGTGCAGAAAATACATGAAATCTGGAATCACCAGACGCGTGTTTACCGACAAAAACCCAGAGCCGAGGCTTAATACTGGGGACCTTGCTTGGTTTGTAGAGCGCAAGGGAAGGTTTGGCCCCAAAAGCAAATATTGATGATTCCGGCTATCCGGGGTTTTGCTTTGCATCTAGGGTTTTGCTTTGTTAACAGAATGTCGTCCCAGCGATGCTGCTGTGGCCACACAAATGAGTGGCGTTTGCGCGCGCAGCGCTGGTGCCAAGGCATTGCGCAGTTGCGAGTTCCACGGCGAGCAAGGTCTGAAGATTGTAGCTCTCCGGAATGACGCAACTGATTCATTATATCGTGCCAGTCTTCCGGAATTAAGCTGACGAAAATGTTTTGACCAGGCATCCTTCCGGGCTGCTTTGTTCAAGTCAAGTGGTTTTTCTCGCTGCGTTTTTCGGTGCGCCTAGGCCACGTTTACCAGCGCAATGCGGCTGTGCGACCCACCAATGCGTTGCAGCGTGATTGTTAGGCTTACGTTTGCCTGTACGGACCCCGTCATTCTTAAGTCCTTCAAAGGCGACGTTTTGCCTACAGCAACCGTTGAGCATCCCTCCGCAAATCGGAAGGGAACATCGCTTACATCGAGTGATTCGCGTTTGCCTCTTCTGTGGCATTCACGTTTTTCAGTCCCACATGCAATTTGTTTTGAACAAACGGTGCTGCAGGATCATGTGTGGGTAAAAAGGTGTATATATATATATATATATGTTGTTGATTTGCGTGCTTTGAACGATTCCCCTTTGTCACCTTTTCACCCCCGCGATCCCTTGCGCAAATTGGCAAGGCGGGACCGCTGGCGTCAAACTTGCAAGATTGCCATGTTACCGTGTTCTTATACAGGAGTGTGAACGCTCACAGCGATTGTTGGCCGATTTTCTGGGGGCAATTGTTCTTCAGGAGCTGCCAAAGAGAATTCGCTTGTGGAGCTTCTTGCGCGATGGCTTGCAAGGGTTGGCGGGCTCTAGTTTGCAGAATTTCCCTTGCACATACTTGCGGTGTTTTTGCCTAATTTGCCAAATTTGCAACAAATTAGCTTGCGGAGATGATTGGGCGGTAGCTTGTTGTTGGCATCTCTGCCAGGGAGTGTTGGGGTCCAGCTTGAACAGAGTCCTTGGAGCATGCAGGTTTGACTCTGGCTTCTGCCATGTCCCAAGCTGGTTTGAAGAGATTCTTGCATGCTCTTCCCCACGGAATCTCTTGCGCTTTAGCTTGCAGGGATTGTTGGGTTCTGGCTTGCAGAATTTCCTTCGCGGAAGCTTCTAGGGATTGTTGAACTTCACTTTGCGGATTTTCCGCTCGCAAGCTTGCAGGCGTTGTTGCATGGTGTTTGGCTTGGGCAATTTTTATCGAGGTGGCTGGCCAGGAGTGGTTGAGTTTTGGCTCGCTTGGCTTGCTGGGCTTTCTGTGCGATCGCTTGCAGATCTTTGCGCAGCTTCCGGTGTGTGAGCCTGCCTGCGCTGCGGAAATGTTTGATGTTAGCTTGCAGGGACTTTGGGGATCTAGTTTGCACAATTTCCTGAGCATTGCCATGCAGAGGTTGCTTGGGAGTCTAGCTTGTGGAAAAAAAGCTAATGCCAAGCAGTGTCCGCAAGCTAGACCAAACTAGCTCTGCGAATAAGCCCTGCCAGCTCACGAGGATTTCTGCAGCTTGACCCCAACAATCCCTGTAG